TTTTTTTTGATGGAGTCTTTAAGTCAAATAGTTTATTGATGATGGACAATATCATGTCATCTGCGAATAATGACAGTTTTACTTCTTCCTTTCCAATTTTGATGCCTTTTATTTCTTCTTCTCATCTGATTGCTATGGCTAACACTTTCAGTACTAGGTCAAACAGGAGTGGTGAGAGTGGGCATCCCTGTCTTGTTCCTGTTCTTAGGGGGAATGGTTTTAGTTTTTCCCCACTGAGTATGATGTTGGCTGTGGGTTTGTCATATATGCCTTTTATTATGTTGAGGTATGATCCCTCTATTCCCACTTTGCTGAGGGTTTTTATCAAGAAAGGATGTTGGATTTTATTAAATGCTTTTTCTGCATCAATTGATATGACTGTGATTTTTACCTCTCAATTTGTTTATGTGATGTATTACATTTATTGATTTGCAGATATTGTACCATCTTTGCATCTCCAGAATAAATCCCACTTGGTCATAGTGTATGATCTTTCTAATGTAATGCTGGAATTTTGTTGAGGATTTTAGCATCTATGTTCATCAGGGATATTGGCCTGTAATACTCCTTCTTTTTAGTGTCTTTATCTGGTTTTGGGATTAGGGTAATGCTGGCTTCATAGAAAGAGCTTGGAAGTGTTCCTTCCTCTTGAATTTTTTGGAATAGTCTGAGGAGGATAGGTTTTTATTCTTCTTTGAATGTTTTGTAAAACTCCCCTGTGAAGCCATCTGGCCCAGGGCTTTGTTTGTTGGACATTTTTTTTTTGATAATTGCTTTAATTTCCTCCATAGTTATTGGCCCATTCAATTTTTTTAATTCTTCCTGATTGAGTTTTGAAAGGTTGTATTTTTCTAGGTATGTCCATTTCTTCTAGGTTTTCCAGTTTGTTAGAATAGAGTTGTTCATAGTATTTTTTTTTTTTACAATCCTTTGTATTTCTGTGGAATCTGTTGTCACTTCACCTCTTTCATTTGTGATTTTATTTATTTGGGGTCTTTCCTTTGTTTCTTAGTGAGCCTGGCTAGAGGTTCATCAATCTTCTTTATCCTTTCAAAGAGCCAGCTCTTGATTTTATTGATCTTTTGTATTTTTTTTTGTTTGGTCTCTATGTGTTTTTTTATCTTTTGTGTTGTTGTTTTTTTTGGTCTCTATGTCATTTATTTCTGCTCTGATCTTTATTATCACCTTCCTTCTGCTCACTCTAAGCTTTTCTTGCTGCTCTCTTTCTAATTATTTAAATTATAGAGTTAGATAATTTATTACCATTTTTTTCGAGATGCTATGAACTTCCTTCTTAGGACTGCTTTCACTGTGTCCCATAGATTTTTGATTGTTGTGTTTTCATTGTCATCTGTTTCCAGAATGTTTTTAATTTCTTCTTTGATCTCTTTGGTAACCCAACCATTGTTTAATAGCATGCTATTTAGCCTATAAGCATGATTTGTTTTTATTGTAATTGATTTCTAATATTATGCCATTGTGGTCTGAGAAGATGCTTGATATGATTTCAGTCTTCTTGAATTTAGAGAGATGTTGCCTGTGACCCAATATATGGTCTATCTTTTACAATGTCCCATGTGCACTTGATAAGAATGTATATTCCATAGCTTTGGGATGAAATGTTCTGAAGATATCAATTAAATCCATCTGATCTAGTGAGTCATTTAGAATTGCTGTTTCTTTGCTGATTTTTTATCTAGAGGATTTATTCAGTGATGTCAATGGGGTGTTAAAGTCCCCTACTATGATTTATTGCTGTTGATCTCTCCCTTGATATCCTGTAAAAGTTTTTTTTTAAATGTATTTGGGTGCCTCTGCATTGGATGCATATATGTTTACCAGAGTTATATCCTCTTGTTGTATCAATCCCTTTAGTATTATGAAGTGGCCTTCCTTATCTCTTGTTATGGCCTTCACTTTGAGGTCTATTTTGTCAGATATAAGTATTGCTACCCCACCTTTTTTTCATTTCCATTTGCCTGGAAGATATTTTTCCATCCCTTATTTCTCTGAATGAGTCCCTTGTTCTGAGGTGGGTCTCTTGTAGACAGCATATATATGGGTCATGTTTTCTTATCCATTTAGCCACTCGATGTCTTTTGATTGGAGCATTTAGTCCATTTATGTTTAAGGTTATTATTGATAGATACTTGTTTATAGCCATTTTTTTGTGTGTGCCTGTGTTCCTTTTCCCCTTTCTATTCCTTCTTTCTACAACAGTGCCTTTAGCATTTCTTGCAGTGCTGGTTTGATAGTGATAAACTCCCTTAGCCTTTTTTTTGTCTTTGAAGCTCTTGATTCCCCTTCAATTTTGAATGATAGCCTTACTGGATAGAGTATTCTTGAATTAATTTCCTTGGTTTGCATCACTTTGTATACTTCATTCCAGTCCCTTCTGACCTGATGTGTTTCTGTTGATAAATCATTTGATAATCTAATGGGATCCCCTGTAGGTAACTTTCTGTCTCTTGCAGCCTTTAAGATCCTCTCTTTGTCATTAATGTTTGCCACTGTTATTACGAGGTGCCTTGCTGTGGGTCTCTATGGGTTCATCTTGTTTGGGACTCTCTGTGCGTGTGTGATGTTTTTATTACCCCAAATCCTGGAAGTTTTCTGTCATTATTTCTTCAAATAGGTTTTCTAAACCTTGTTTCTCCTTTTGTCCTTCTGGCACCCCTATTATACATATGTTATTTCATTTATTGTTGTCCCAAAGCTCCAGTAGGTCCTCTTCCTGCTTTTTAATGTTTTTATCCAATTGCTGTTCAGATTGGGTGTGTTTTTCCTGCCCTTTCTTCTAATTTGTGAATTCGTTTCTCCACTTCTAATCTACTGTTGAAACCTCTGTTATGTTTTTATTGTAGCTATATCACTCTTTATTTCCTCATGATTCATACATAAGTTGTTGATTTTCTCATCCAGCTGGTTTAGAAATTATATGATCCTTACTCTGAATTGTTTCTTGACATATTGCATGCCTCTGTTTCATTTAGTACCTTTTCTGGTGACTCCTTTTCCCCTTTCCTTTGGGGGTTGTGTCTTTGTCTCCCCATTTTTGCTCTCACAGGAGGATGTAGGTGCTGAGTCATGTGGGTCCTGGCTGCAGCGGTGGGCTCAGTATTAGGGTCATGCTCTCTGAAACTTCCTGGTGGGCCCAGGCGCCAGGACACAGGAGGCCTGTGGTTAAAGCAGCAGGCTTGGCATGTGGGTTGCACAGTCCCAGACTTGCTAGTGGGCCCAATCGCCAGGTCATGCAGTGCCTGGTGATTGAAGCAATGGCTTGCCAGATGGGTTGTACAGTTGCAGGGCCTGGGGCCAAAGTGGCTTATGGTAGGGGAACATGCTCTAGAACTCACAGGAGCCTGCAGCTGTGGGGGATGGAGTCCCAGTGTCCGTGGGTCTGCAGATGAGGTAGCAGGTCTTTTGTCAGAGTGGCTGTAGGTTCTGGGGTGATGTCTGAAGCCAACTGGGTATTGGTGAGAGTGGGCTTATAGTCACAGCAGCTCTCCCCTTCAAGATAGCATGGTTACTATGTCAGAGCTGGCCACCTCAGGAGTGACTGCAGAGGTTCAGGGCCTCCCCAGCTTTCCCAGTCCACCAGCCCCTGAAAGTCCTGCAGGATCTAACTGTCCCTCACTCAAACACACATACACACAACACATCCATCCACTCCTCTTTTGCTCCCTCACTCACTCACACTCTCTTCCTTACTACTGTCTTTCCAGCCACCATTTGGCTGTCCTCTGATTTTTTTAAAATGCACTAAGGTGTTATTTAATTATTGAGTTTTTGTTCCTATACTCCCTTAAAATTTCCACTATCACAGTCTTGGTCCTGTATAGAATTTGAGGAGAATTGGTAAATTTAAATTGGATTTAATCAAAGCAATATTTTTATTTGAGCAAAGCAAACAGAAACTTAATTTCTTACTGGGCATGTTCAAGAGAATGTCTTGCCCTGGCTGGTGGTGCTCGGTGGTTAGAGTGTCAACCTGCACATCAAAGGGAAGAGAGTTCGATTTCAAGTCTAGGACATACACCTGGGTTGTAGGTTTGATCCCCACTCGGGTCGGGGCAAGTATGGGAAACAACCAATCAATGCATCTTTCTCATATTGATGTTTCTCTCTCTCTCTCTCTCTCTCTCTCTCTCTCTCTCTCTCTCTCTCCCTTTCCCCTTCCCTCCCTCATTTTTACTCTCACTAAAAAATCAATGGAAATAAATAACCTCTGGTGAGGATGAACAAAAACAAACAAACAAACAAACAGAAGAGTAGGTCTTTTCATAAGAGAAAAGGCTGATTATGGTAGATTCTGCTCTCTATTTTGACTGTTTAGTAGAAATATATATAATAGATATATTTATATAATAACATGATCAACCCAACCCATCTCTACCTCTAAATCACCCAGTCTAAGTGATGAAGCAGTTATTGCATACATTTGAATTATTCTCATTTTTAAAATTAGACATAACTAAATATATAAAAGGGCTGAAGTGGATAAACATTTATGTCCTTCCTATTTTTAAAATTCAACAATTCTTATTTAGTGATTGCTAGGATGCTTGGGAACAGAGATGAGAAATCTAGTATGGAATAGGAACAGTTAAGTGGTCTCTGGGCTTGTTATCAGTATTTCATTATGGATACTATTTCTCTCCCATTTTGTTTAGAATAAGAGAAAACTCTATTTTCACATTGGATAGGGAATGAAGGGATACAAGTGATCAATTTAGCAAAAATAAGGTTGCTCATTTTAACAATATAGAACCATTTGAATCATGTTGCTGTTTACTTTATCTGTTTCATACAGAAGAAAGTCTAGCAGGCTTAAAATGACGGGGTCTCTTTTTAATCCTAGTTCTACCCCCTGCTACTATTTAATGCGAGGTAAATTATAAACCTCTGTAGGGAATCACATTATAATGTCCAGAGTGAGTTTATTATTTCTTCAATGATAATTGTAATTATGTATTATAACTTATTTTTTTTTCTTTCAGCTGCTAGAGGTGCTCAATTTGCTTGTTATGATGAGATAAATTCAAGAGGAGATAGATATGGAAACTGTGGAAAATTTTATTGTTCTTTTCCGTATGTATTAGGCAATTCTAATTTTGTTTGTAATGTAGCTTATATGTTGCTAAGATCCTAGAATATATTATTATGTACAGGCTAAAGTGGTATTTTATACCAGGTTTTCTTTGTTTCATTATCTGAGAACAATGTTATTACCTATTGCCTACAAATAACGTGTGCCTATAATGTTACAACAACAATGACCATAAAATAGCCTCTGTTTATTGTTGTGATGAGCTAGGCATTGTGTTAGGTAGTTTATATACATTATATAATAAATATATTTAATACATCACACATTTATAGTAAGAGCTATTCTATTTTACTAATGAAAAAAATTGAAGACCAGCAACCATTGGTTTAAATATCAGAAGCCAATATAGGAGAGATCAGGGTCATCAAATTGCAAAAATCATTAATCTTTTCCCTTGCCACATTGCCTCACAAAACAAAAAGGCACACATCATACATAACTCAGTGGACTCAGAAAATTACTGAGAAAACTCTTGAAACCTGGATTTAAGTCAGTGAAATACCTTTTTAACTTAGCCATATCAGCAATCTATGTTAATATGAGAATTTTTTTTTTCTGCCTTATGCTTCTAGTAATCTCATGTGTGGAAAATTAGTTTGTGCCTGGCCACATAAAGCAATAGTATCAAAAGAAAATTTATCTGTGATTTACACACACATACGAGATGAAATATGTGTGTCTACATTTCTAAAATCGGACAGGATACCTGCCAATGACAAAACAACAGTAAATACACCTCAAGATAGAGATAAAACATTTACAGCAGATGGCTCTTCGTGTGGTCCTGATATGGTAATTAGAACTATAAAATTATAAGTGTTTTCAACATCTTTTATGGTTATACTCATTTTGATAATATACCAACCAATGAACTTTAAAATAACCTGATTGGGGCATCATTTACATAAAATTCATTGCTTTTGATTAATTTAGAGTTGTACAACCATCAGCACATCCAGTTTTAGACCATACCATCACATCTTCCCTTTTGCCCACTTGCCCATCCCTAGCCCTAAGCTACACAGCCAGTTTCCTCTATTAACATTTAGCACTAGTATGATACATTTGTCATAATTAATAAACTAATGTTGATGCATTATTATTAACTAAATCTAGTAGTACATTCAGATTTCCTTAGCTTTTACTTAATGACGTTTTCTAGGATTCAGCCCAGAGTACCACTTTGCATTTATTTGCTGTGTGTATTTAGGCTCCTCTCAACAGTACAGTTTCTTAAATGTCCATCTCCCCCTCCCCCTCCCCCCTTTCTTGGGAAGAAGATCACATCATATCAAATATACATGCTTGTTGATATTAATTTTGATCACATGGGTGTGGTAATATTTGACAAATTTATCACTGTAAATTATTTTTTCTTTCTATATTGTACTTCATTGAAAGAAATTACTATGCATAGCCCACACCTAAGGAGTAATAAGTTGTGTTCCACCTTCTTGGAAATTCAGTATCATTCAGTATCATTAAATCATTTTGAATTCTGCATAGTTTTGTCTATTTTTCTCTATTTATTCAATCATATATTTGTAGCAGTATGGAATCCATGGATATTTATATTATAGTTTTGGTTATTATCCAGTATGACTTTATTTTATTGTTCAAATTGTTCTAACTCTGGCTATTGGGAGTTCTTTCAACTTGTTTCTATGTTGCTTTGACATACTATTATCATTGTGTGTGCTTTTCTTTTGGAGTGCTTCCTTACTTTCTGGAATGACAAACTGTTCTAGGTCCATTTTGTATATTTTGTGTCTTAGTTCCTAGAATTTGCATTCTCCCAGGAGTCCTGGTTTATTTTAACTAGAAATGACAGTTAGAAACTAAGATCTAGGGCTAATTGTGCTTTTGCTACTGGAGTTTCACTGGTTTGGCCCTATCAGTAGACAGAACTAGGAAATATGTATCTGACTGGTGTGGCTCAGTTGGCTGAGCATCATCTCATGCACCAAGAGGTCACTGATTTGATTCCTGGTCAGGGCACATGCTCCAGTTGCAGGCTCAATTCCCCAGTAGGGGGTGTATAGGAGGCAGCTGATTGATGTTTCTCTCTAATCAATGTTTCTATTTCTCTTTCCCCCTCCCTTTTTCTCTCTCTCAAATTAATAAAAACAATATTTAAAAATATTTTTTCCAAATGTTTTTAATTTCTTGCTCTCTCTTCTCCTTTTGGCACACCCATGATGTGAGTGTTTGAATGTTTGAAGTTGTCTCAGAGGCTTTTTGCACTATCTTCATTCTTTTTTAATTCTTTTTTCTTTTTTCCATTTGATTGTATACTTTTTGCTTACTTGTATTTCAAATTGCTGATTTGCTTGTAAATCATTCTTCATTTCAGTTAGTGTATCCTTCATTTACAACCGGTTCTTTTTTATGGTTTCTGTCTTTTTCATACTATTGAATTTTCACTAAGTTCCTTGAGCATCCGTGTAACCATTGTTTTGAACTGTGTCTGGTAGTTTGCTTGTCTCCATTTCATTTAGTTCTTTTTCTGGAGATGTCTCCTGTTCTTTCATATTGGATCTTTTTTGTTTGTTTGTTTCTGCATTTTGGAAGCTTCCCTGTCTTGTTTTTATGTATTAGCTAGAGCTGCTACATCTTCTGGACTAGCTGGAGTGGCCTTGTTTAGTAGGTGCCTGTAGGCTTCAGTGGCACAGCTTTCCCAGTCACCTGAGCTGGGTGTTCCAGGCACCCTGATGTGGACTGTGAGAACTGTACTTTCGTATTTGAGCTTTGATTACTGTTGGCATGTCACTGGGAGGAATTGACCTCCCAGGCTAATTGGCTGAGAAGACCAGCTGTGACTATAGAAGACCAGCTGCTGTACAGGAGCTGACCCTACAAAGCAGAACTTATTTTAGAGGGGCTTTGGTCATCATCTTGAGTGTGTTGTTTGTGGAGGTGGGAGGCTTTTAATCTAGTGTAGTCTGAAGCTGTTAACTTGGTACACTGGCTCTTAGGACTTCTGGGAGGCCCAAGGTCAAGGTCAGCCACTGTCTGTGATCTGCCTGAGGTACCTGGCATGAGCTACAGAGTGATCTGTAGATGGCTGTTACTTGTGCTGGGGTTGAAGGTGCCCAGGAGAGGCCAAGCTGCAAATCAAGGCTGGTTGCTGCTAGTGTTGAGCCTGGGACCATTTAGCAAGAGGTACAGGGTACACAGAGGCTAGATGCTACTTGTTTGAGAGATTTTAGGAAAATCTGAAGCATGAGCTGCAATAGTCCATTTGTATGGAAAGGCCACTGGAAACAGCTGAGGGGGACCAGCAAGTTTGGTGGGCCAGGGTGTCAGGGAATCACCAGGGCAGGGTGAACAGAGTGAGGCAGTTTGATGGAGACTTAACTATGGTGCCCACCTGCCTGCTTGGGCATGGGGGGACTGTCTCAGTAAAGAAACAATGGCTTTCACTAGCACTTTTTTCTAGCAATAAGCTGATACCCCCCAGCTCTTGCCCTGATGCCAGACTATTCAGTTCCTGCCTGTGTGTCTCTGATTCCTTTCAAGCTGCTATCCTAGCTGTAGCTCAGAGGGAGTGGCCATGTTTAAGCCTTTAAGGGGAACTGCCTGGGACTCCAGCAGCACTCCATCTCACTCAGCCACAATCTCCACTGGTTTGGATAGTAAGAAGCTATGTGGACTTCTCCTTTTGGCACTGGAACCCTGGGCTTGGAGGCCTGGTGTGGGGCTAGGACCCCTTGCTTCTCATGAGTAACCTCCACAGGAAAAGCATCTCTTCCAATTTTTATTTGCCACACATAGGTGTGGGAACAGCCAATTCCAGGTCTCTGCCCCTCCTACCAATCTCAATATGGTCTCTTCTTTAAATCTCTAGTTGTAGGACTTCAATTCTGCTATATTTCAGGTGGTTCTGAATGATGGTTGTTATGTAGTTGTAATTTTATGTGGTTGTGGGAGTGTCCTCATACTAATGATTTTAAGACCTCAATCTCCCATCAGATAGTACTCAAACCTGACTGCTCACAATAATTGCCTGGACCCTGTCCCAGGTATCTATACTAATAATAGAGGAATATGCACATTGGCTGGGATGCCATCACATAACGATCAATCAGGATGGGGGCGGGGCCGCGGCGGAGAGCTCTCAGCATGCCTGCACCAGGGGTCTGAAGGGCATGGAGAGAAAGTGAGAGCACATAGGCAGTTAGGGGGATCAGGCCAGGAGGGGAGCACAGATAGGCAGTTAGGGGAATCAGGCAAGGAGGGGAGAGCAGATAGGCAGTTAGGGGAATCAGGCAAGGAAGGGAGAGCAGATAGGGGGATCAGGCCAGCAGGGAGAGAAGTTAGGCAGTTAGGGGGATTAGGCCAGGAGGGGAGAGCAGTTAGGGGGATCAGGCTGGCAGGGAAGAGCAGTTAGGGCCATTAGGCCAGCAGGGGAGCAGTTAGGAGCCAGTGGTTCCAGATTGTGAGAGGGATCCCGGATTGGAGAGGGTGCAGGCCAGGCTTAGGGGACCTGTCTCCTCCCTCCCCGCCGTGCATGAATTTCATGCACCAACTAGGCCTCTAGTTTTGATATAATGGTCTCAGGTGGAGCCCAGGCATAGGCCTTTAAAAAAATGTTCTTCAGTGAATTCTTGAACTCAAAGAACTAATCAAATAATTTTTTCAGGAATATATCTTTCTAAGAGGACTTCTGGAGTTAGATGGTAAGAAAATAAAATTTCCAACTTCTTACATATGATTACAACTTTATAATCTGAAGGTACATAGCTTATTTCACATTTATTTCAATGAACTTACAATTACTTTATTTTTTAGATTTTTATGTCAATCCTTGGTAATATGAATTCTTGAATTTTCTATAGTTTTTCATCTTTATTATAAATGTACACAATCGATTGTTTTCTGACTTTATTTTTCATGTCCTTTTGAATTGTTTTAGTATTGTATCAACTTTACCTGTAGAGAGATTAGACACATGGTTGATTATTCTGCATGCAACAATACTAGAGACTGTAATGACAGGGGAGTAAGTAATTTCAATTTTCATTTTAAGCTACATGTTTTGAAAATTTAATAAACAGCTTAGAGATTTACAAAATCATTTGAATAATTTTCTAAATCATTTTTATACTACACAGTGCCATTTAATGATCTGTAATTTATAGCTTTAACATTATTTTACTAAGAAATCTTGCCAAACTATTTATTAAAGAAGATAAAGTAGAAACATTTAAGATAATTCTGGATGTATAAAATGTTTGGTAAATATTTGGGGTGGATGTGCTATAAGCACTATGTGTTACAAGATAACCAAAATCATAATATTTTTACAGAGAGAAGGCAGAAACTGGTAAAAAAAAAAAAAGGGTTATATGAATTTTCTTGCTAGTCTTGCTAGTTAATTTAGGGTCTGGGCTGTTCTGTGAAGCTAGAAAGTAAATGATAATTAATGGCATGTTACTGGTAATTGCCAATATTTGTGTTTGGCTACATGAAGAGTTGAAAGAATTAAAAAAAATTAACTTGGTAACAGAAGCTAGATGTACTTTTTAAGGTATAGATACTTTCAAGAGAAAATTTGTTGAATTGTTTATTTAAGATCAATTTTCTAGAATAGATAGCTTCTTTGGCATAAATTATCTTTTGAATAAGTATAGAATATTCATTTGTCTCTATTGTAAAACATCTTTGCACATAAAAAATTGTTCTATTTTCTGATTATTCTAGATTTGCAACAATTTCCAGCATTGCCATTGTGACAAAGGGTTTGCTCCTCCTTATTGCAAACCAGAAAAAAATGCATTTGGAAGTAAGGATGATGGGCATATATATGCTGATGGTTAGTGTCTTTATCTAATGAATATACATATATGCAAACCCCTTGGACATGGACAATTGTGTGAAGACCAATCAAGGGGGAGGTGTGGGTGGATGAAGGTGATCAAAGGGAGAAGGGAAGGAGGACACCTATATTTATGTCAATATTAAAATTTTTTAATAAAAAATAGAAAAATAATATGAAGCAGAATGAATTAAAGTGTAGATTACAAACTAGATTACCAAAGAATTGAAGCAAAAAAAAGTTTTATTTTTTTTCACTTTTCTGATTTTCATTCCCTTTATTTTTTTTTAAATTTTATTTTATGGTTTAAGGTATTACAAATAGTACATATGTCTCCTTTTTTTTCTCCATTGACCTCCCCCCGCCAGCCTCCCCTACACCCAATATTCATAGCATCATTTTATAATGTGCTTAGTATGTTAATGTATGGGTAGGCCATGATTTACTTAAACACTTTTTATTTAGAGTTTTTCATTGTAAGACATGAAAAATGAGATCAAAACATTTAAATTATTGCCCAACTGGTGTCGCTCAGTGGTTGGGCATCGATTGACCCATGAACCAGGAAGTCACAGTTTGAATCCCAGCCAGGGCACACACCCAGGTTGCAGGCTCCATCCCCAGTGTCTTATATGCACGGATACAAGTCCTTTGGTTGACCTCTTACCTCCCCCCTCACAACCCTCCTCAGCCTTCCCGCTGTAGTTTGACAGTCGTCTGATGCTTCTATTACTCTGGTTCTGTTTTTGTTTATCAGTTTATGTTGTTCATTATATTCCACAAATGAGTGAGATCGTGTGATATTTATCTTTCTCCGACTGGCTTATTTTGCTTAGCATAATGCTCTCCAGTTCCAACCATGCTCTTGCAAATGGTAATTTTCCTTCTTTTTTTACAGCAGCATAGTATTCCATTGTGTAGATGTACCACAGTTTTATAATCCACTCATCTTCTTATGGGCACTTAGGTTGTTTCCAAATCTTAGCTATGGTAAATTGTGCTGCTATGAACATAGGGGTACATATATATCCTTTCTGATTGGTGTTTCTGGTTTCTTGGGATATATTCTATAAGATGGATTACTGGGTCAAATGGAAGTTTCATTTTTAATTTTTTGAGGAAATGCCATACTGTCTTTCACAGAGACCAGTCTGCATTCCTACCAGCAGTGCACAAGTGTTCCTTTTTTACCACATCCTCTTCAGCACTTGTCGTTTGTTGATTTGTTGATGATAGCCATTCTTACAGGTGTGAGATGGTACTGCATTGTTGTTTTGATTTGCATCTTGGATGATTAGTGACTTTGAGCATGTTTTCATATGTCTCTTGGCCTTCTATATGTCCTCTTTTGAAAGGTGTCTATTTAGGTCCTTTGCCCACTTTTTAAAAAAAAATATATATTTTATTAATTTCTTACAGAGAGGAAGGGAGAGGGATAGAGAGTTAGAAACATCGATGAGAGAGAAATATCGATCAGCTGCCTCCTGCACACCCCCCACTGGGGATGTGCCTGCAACCAAGGTACATGCCCTTGACCGGAATCGAGCCTGAAACCCTTCAGTCCACAGGCCGATGCTCTATCCACTGAGCCAAACCAGTTAGGGCCTTAGCCCACTTTTGGAATGGATTGTTTATGTTCCTTTTGTTAAGTTGTAGGAGTGCCCTATAAATTTTGGAGATTAAACCCCTATTGGAGATAGCACTGGCAAATATGTTCTCCCATGCAGTGGGCTTTCTTGTTGTTTTGTTGATGGTTTCTTTTGCTATGCAGAGTCTTTTTATTTTGATGTAGACCCATTTGTTTATTTTCTCTTTAGTTTCCATTGCCCAGAGCTGTATTGGTAAAGATATTGCTGTGACAAATATTTGCTATTCTACTGCCAATGGCTTCTGCTAAGATTTTTATGGTTTCTCATCTTACGTTTAAATCCTTTAGCCATTTTGAGTTTCAATTTGTTTGAATTTGATATTTGTCTTTCAATTTGTTTATACGATGTATCATGTTTATTGATTTGCGGATATTGTATCAGGGCATCCCTGTCATTTTTTGCATGTATCTGTCCAATTTTCCCAACAGCATTTATTGGAGAGACAGTCTTGACTCCATTGTATGCTCTTGCTTCCTTTGTCAAATATTAATTCAGCATAATGGCTTGGGTCGATTTCTTGGTTCTCTCTTCTGTTCCATTTGTCTATATATCTGTTCTTGTGCCAGTACCAGGCAGTTGTGAGGACAGTGGCCTTGTAATATAGCTTGATATCTGATATTGTGATCCCTCCAACTTTTTTTCTACTTCCTCAAGATCGCTGTAGCTATTCAGGGTCTTTTTGTTCCAGATGAATTTTTGGAGAGTTTGTTCTGGATCTTGGAAGTATGCCATTGGTATTTTAATGGGAATTACATTAAATCTATAAATTGCTTTGGGTGTGATGGATATTTTAATGATGTTGATTCTAATCCATGAACACGGAATATTCTTCCCATTGTTTATGTCTTCATGTATCTCTGTTTTCAGCATCCTGTAATTTTCTGAGGACAGGGCCTTTACCTCCTTAGTTAAATTTATTCCTAGGTACCTTAATTTTTGTGTTGCAATGGTAAATGGGATTGTTTTTTTGTTTCTCTTTCTGTGATTTCATTATTGTTGTATAAAAAAGCCATAGATTTCTGGGTGTTAAGTTTGTATCCTGCTACATTGCCAAATTCATTTATTAAGTCTAGTAGTTTTATGATGGAGTCTTTAGCGTTTTCTAAGTACAATATCATGTCATCTGGGAATTATGACAATGTTACTTCTTCTTTTCCAATTTGGATGCCTTTTATTTCTTCGTCTTGTCTGATCACTATGGCTAGCACTTCCACTACTATGGTGAAAGTGGGCATCCCTGTCTTGTTCCTGTTCTTAGGGGAAATGGTTTTAGTTTTTGCTCATTGAGTATGATGTTTGCTGTAGGTTTGTCATATATGGCTTTTATTATGTTAAATTATGTTCCCACTATTCCCACTTTGCTGAGAGTTTTTATCTGGAAAGGGTGTTGGATTTTGTCAAATGCTTTTTATGCATCAATTGATATGATTATGTGATTTTTGTCTTTCAATTTGTTTATATGATGTATCATGTTTATTGATTTGTGGATATTGTACCAGCCTTGCATCCCTGGGATAAATCCCACTTGGTCATGGTGTATGATCTTTCTGTTGTAATGCTGAATCCAATTTGCTAGGATTTTGTTGAAGATTTTAGCATCTATGTTCATGCGGGATGTAATTCTCGTTCTTTATAGTGTCTTTATCTGTTTTGGGATTAGGGTGATCCTGGCTTCATAGAAAGAGCTAGGAAGTGCCTTCCTCTTGAATTTTTTTGGAATAGTCTGAGAAGGATACGTTTTAGTTCTTTTTTGAATGTTTGTTAAAACTCTCCTGTGAAGCTGTCTGGCCCTGGGCTTTTTTCTTGCTGGGAGCTTTTTGATGACTTGCTTCAATTTCCTCTTTAGTTATCAGCCTATGAGATTTTTTGATTCTTCTTGATTGAGTTTTAGAAGGTCATATTTTTCTAGGAATATGTTCATTTCCTCTAGGTTGTAATGCTTGTTGGAATAGAAATGTTCATAGTATTTTTTTTTTACAATCCTTTGTATTTCTGTGGGGTCTATTGTTATTTTGCCTCTTTTGTTTCTGACTTTGTTTATTTGGGTCCTTTCTCTTTGCTTCTTGGTGAGCCTGGCTATTGGTCATCAATCTTGTTTATGCTTTCAAAGAACCAGCTCTTGCGTTCATTGATCTTTTGTATTGTTTTGTTTTTTTGGTCTCTATGTCATTTATTTCTGCTCCAATCTTTATTATCGTCTTCCTTGTGCTCACTCTGGGCTTTTCTTGTTGTTCTCTTTCTAATTATTTAAGTTGTAGAGTTACATAATTTGTTACAATTTTTCTTGTGGTTTTTTTTTTTTTTTTTGAGGTAGGCCTGTAATGCTATGAACCTCCCTCTCAGGACTGCTTTCACTGTGTCCCATGGGTTTTGGATTGTTGTATTATCATTTTCATTCATTTCCAGGATGTTTTAAATTTCTTCTTTGATCTCTTTGGTAAGCCAATCATTGTTTAATAGCATGCTATTTAGCCTCCAAGTGTTTGAATTTTTTAAAATTGTTTTTATTGTAGTTGATTTCTAATATTAAGCTATTGTAGTCTGAGAAGATGCTTGATATGATTTCAATCTTCTTGAATTTGAAGAGACTTTGCCTGTGTTCCAATACGTGGTCTATATTTGAAAATGTCCCATGTGCACTTGAGAAGAAGGTATATTCGGTGGCTTTAGGATGAAATGTTCTGAAGATGTCAATTAAGTCCATCTGATAGTGAGTCATTTAGGATAGCTGGTTCTCTGCTGATTTTTTGTCTATAGGATTTATCCAGTGATGTCAGTGGGGTATTAAATTCCTACTATTTTCATGTTGCTGTTGATCTCTCCCTTGATATCTTCCAGATGTTTTTTTTATATATAATTGGGTGCTCCTACATTGGGTGCATATATGTTTACCAGGGTTATATCCTCTTGTTTTATTGATCTCTGTAGTATTATGAAGTGGCCTTCCATATTTCTTGTTATGACCTTCACTTTGAGGTCTATTTTGTCAGATATAAGTATTGCTACCCCAGCTTTTTTTTCATTTCTATTTGCCTGAAAGATATTTTTCCATCCCTTCACTTTCAGTCTGTGTGAGTCTCTTGTTCTGAGGTGGGTCTCTTTTATACAGCAAATACATGGGTCATGTTTTCTTATCCATTCAGCCACTCACTGTCTTTTGATTGGAGCATCTAGTCCAGTTACATTTAAAGCTATTATTGATAGGTACTTATTTGTAGCCATTTTTTTTTGCCTGTGTTCATTCTTCTCCCTTTTTATTTGTTTCTTCTTTTTACAAATATCCCTTGAGCATTTCCTGGCGTGGTAGTGATAAACTCCCTTTACTTTTCTTTGTCTGTGAAGCTCCTG